GGGGGAGTGCTGAGCACCCTAACAGTGTGCAGATCAGGTGAGATCCCATCCACCAGGGGGCGTACTGACCACCCTCACTCTGTTCAGATCAGGTGAGATCCCATCCACCAGGGGGCGTGCTGACCACCCTCACACTGTGCAGATCCCGTGAGATCCCGCCATCACAGTCTCTCCTCTCCCATCCTCATGCTCTCTCACTAGACTATACTTGTGTTTTTTCTTTTTTCTGGAATCTCTCTTCAGTCCTGACTTCTTCAACATCATTCTCCCCAAGCTCAGTCATCTCACTAAGTTTCTCTGACTTCCCCAATCCTTTTTTTTTTTTTAATTAAATGATAGCTGTATACATTAATGCAAACACGGGGTACAGTGTAGTGTTTTCATATGCAATTTGAAATACTTTCATCAAGCTGGTTAACATAGACTTCATGTCATTTGCTTAGTCATTGTGTCAAAACATTTATATTCTAGTTCTAGAAAAGTTCACTTGTACCCTTGTTAGACAGACCATATAGGTGATCTTTCCAGTCACCTTCCCACCACTCAGCCACCCTTCTCCCCTCCCTGTCCCCATCCCCCTCCCCATATTCGTGGGCTAGAATTAAGTTGTAGCTTTCATTTGAGAGCTATAAATTAGTTTCACAAAAGGGCTATGTACATTGGATACTTTTTCTTCCATTCCTGTGATACTTTGCTAAGAATATTTTCCAGTTCCATCCATGTAAACATGAAGGAGGTAAAGTCTTCATTTTTCTTTAGGGCTGCATAGTATTCCATGGTGTACATATACCACACTTTATTGATCCATTCGTGGATCGATGGGGACTTGGGCTTCTTCCATGACCTGGCAATTATGAATTGGGCTGCAATAAACATTCTGATACACATATCTTTGTTGTAATGTAATTTTTTTATCTTCTGGGTATATACCTAATAATGGAATTGTAAGTTCGAATGGCAGGTCTATTTTTAGTTCTCTAAGTGTTCTCCAGACATCTTTCCAAAAGGAACGTATTAGTTTGCGTTCCCACCAGCAGTGTAGAAGTGTTTCCTTTTCTCCACATCAACCACCAACATCTCTGGTTTTGGGATTTTGTGATATGGGCTAATCTTACTGAAGTTAGGTGATATCTCAAAGTAGTTTTGATTTGCATTTCTCTGATGATTAAGGATTGTGAGCATTTTTTCATATATCTATAGGCCGCACGCCTATCTTCTTTGGTGAAATTTCTCTTCAAGTCCTTTGCCCACCTTGGGATAGGATCACTTGTTTTTTTTTTGTTTGTTTGTTTGTTTTGTTAATGCGTTTGAGTTCTCTATGGATTCTGGTTATCAAACCTTTGTCAGAGACATAATCTGCAAATATTTTCTCCCACTCTGAGGGCTGTCTGCATGCTTTACTTACTGTGCTCTTGGCTGTGCAGAAGCTCTTTAGTTTGATCAGGTCCCAATAGTGTATTTTTGATGTTGCTTCAATTGCAGACTATACTATAAATTGATAGTGCTTAAAACAGCATGATATTGGCACAAAAACAGAGAGGTAGATGTATGGAACAGAATAGAAAGCCAACAGATGAACCCAGCTACCTACCATTACCTCATTTTTGATAAACCAATTAAAAACATTGAATGGGGAAAAGATTCCCTATTTAACAAATGGTGCTGGACGAACTGGCTGGTGACCTGTAGAAGACTGAAACTGGATCCACACCTTTCACCATTAACTAAGATAGATTCTCACTGGATTAAGGATTTAAACTTAAGACATGAAACCATAAAAATACTTGAAGAAAGTGCAGGGAAAACACTTGAAGAAATCGGCCTGGGCGAATTGTTTATGAGACTTCCCCAAACCTTGAATGCCAATGTTCTCCAGAGTCTTAGCTTGCTCTCCTGTTGTTTTCTTTCCCACACCCATGGCCTTGGCTGTCACCACAGATGATTTCCAAATATCCATCTCCTAGGCTGATCAGTCTCTCCCATGCAAGCTTTGGTTGTCCACTGCGTCCTCCCTGAGCAGTCTGGAGGCACCTGCATCTGAACTTGCACTCTTTTCCTTCTGGCCTTCATTCAGTGACAAGCTTTTATAAAGGGAAGCTAAACACAAGGGTAGAGCATAGAATGAGCCTTCTAGGCAAGCTGAAGAGATGAAAATGAGTGATTACAGAAGGATGTATTCATGTTTCTGTGAGAAACAGAAGAGGTAGGGCTCCATTCTGAAAAGGGAGTAAGGTCCTGGCGTGGAGTTTGGGAATGTGTTGGGGTGAGCGCTGTTTTAGCTTGGAGCTCCCCACATGATCAGAGGCATTCTGAAGAAAGAAGTCATGTGTGCACATGGTTGGGAAAGATTAGGGCACGTTCTTGCCCTTAGTGGTAATTTGGTATGACTTCAAAGTGCCTGGGAAGCTGTCAGAAGAGCAGTTAAAAACAGGCCACCTCCACATCATCAAGGTGTTTTATTTCTATGCAAAATAATATGGACTTTGTCCTGCAGGCAACTGAGCAATCAAGTAAGTTTAGCCAGAGATCTGTGACAACATCAGTTTTCAGGTGATATTCTTGGTATGAGGGAGCTGGAGTATTGTGGAGGGGACACTAGGACAACATGGGGGATTTATGAAATCATGAGGTCCTGACTTAGAATTCCAGAACTGGGATACAGAAAATCGCACATGTACTGTCCTTTGAAGGTAAAACCAACAGGTTGTGGTAACCACTGAACGTGGGAAGTGAGGAAAGGGAACAGAATTGAGGGCAGCATCCAGGAGTCTGGGTTGGGGGACAAAGGGTATGGTGCTATTGAGAAAGATGGAGGATAGAAATGTCTTGGGGAAAATAAAATGAACAAACTTTTATTTCATCATGGACTATTTTTTGAAGTCACCTTGACAATCAAAGCTGAATTATGGCCTGTTATTATTACTTATTAATATTCTGATCTTCTGGGATTCAAGCTATAACAGTGCTTTTCCTTCTGAGGACAATGTGCTTTGGCTTTATCCTTTTTGGTAGAATAGATATAGAAAAGAAAGTGCATTGGAAAATATTTCAAAAACACTATTCTTTCTTATTTTATTAAGTCTTTCATACATAGATCATAAATATATTTATGCCATTATAGGATTCAATGTGTTGATTATTTGTACAAATTACAAATTGGAGTGCTTACATCCTACTAAACAACATAGCGTTCACCACTTTTACCCAATTACAGGATTAAGACATTTATGCTTTACACCTGATAGATCCAACTTGTACTTGCAATATGCTCCATAGGTGTGGTCCCCCTACCAACCCTCCCTCTGTCACCCCACCCCCCTCCCTTCCCCTCTCCCTCCCGTTCCCTCATTCATCCTAAACTATAGTTGTGTTTCTTTTTTCATATGCACATGTGAGTGATTATAAATTGGTTTCACAGTAGTACTGAGTACATTGGATATTTTTTTTTCATTCCTGAGATACTTTACTAAGAAGAATATTTTCCAGCTTCATCCATGTAAACATAAAAAAGGTAAAGTCTTCATTTTTTAATGCTGCATAGTATTCCATGGTATACATATACCACAATTTATTAATCATTCATGGGTTGATGGGCACTTGGGCTTTCTTCATGACTTGGTAGTAATGAATTAAGCTGCAATGAACAATCTGGTGCAAATATCTTTATTGCCAAGTGATTTTTGGTTCATTGGATATACACCTAGAAGAGGAATTGCAGGATCAAACGGCAGGTCTATATTTAGATCCCTGAGTGTTCTCCAAACTTCCTTCCGAAAAGGATGTATTAGCTTGCATTCCCACTGAATGGAGTAAAATTGAAATCATTTCCATTCAGATCAGGAACCAGACAAGGATGCCCACTGTCTCCACTGCTTTTTAACATTGTGATGGAAGTCTTAGCTACCGCAATCAGGCAAGAGAAGGCAATCAAGTGGATCCAAATAGGACCAGAGGAGATCAAACTGTCACTCTTCACAGATGATATGATTATATATCTGGAAAATCCCAGGGAATCAACTACAAAACTCCTAGAAGTGATCAAGGAATACAGCAACGTCTCAGGCTACAAAACAAACAAACAAACAAACAAACAAAAACAACCCACTATTCTTAACTTCAAACACAATGTAATCTTGGGCAGGTTACTTTAATTGCCTTATATCCTAAGAGGGCAAAAATACAAAACAAAAACAAAACCCCCCAGCCAAAACTCTACCTCATAGTGATGTACAGAAGGTCTATCTAATCAAAGGAAACATTTTATTTTTTTTATTTTGAATTTTTTTGAGACACAGTGTCACTCTATTGCTCTGGGTAGAGTGCAATAACATCATCATAGCTCAGAGCAACCTCAACTCCTGGGTTCAAGTGATCTTCCTGCCTCAGCCTCCTCAGTAGCTGGGACTTTAGGCACCCACCATCACACCCACCTAGTTTTTCTATTTTTAGTAGAGACAGGTTCTCACTTTGGCTCAGGCTGGTCTTGAACTCCTGAGCTCAAGCAGTCCTCCCACCTTTACCTCTCAGAGTGTTAATATTACAGATGTGAGACACTGTGCCCAGCTAAAAGGGCACATTTTAAAGCACCACACAAATTTGCACTTAGAAATTTCTCTAGAGACTAGATTCATCTTTCCTTTCTCATACCATGATTTTCAAATATCAGCCACTGTTTCCCAGATATTCTTCTTATTTTTAAAATAAAATCATGGTCCTTATAACCCCCATATTTTAGTAAGCCTTACAGAGAATGAATAATTTCATGGCATTGCAGTTTTCAGCCTGCCTGATGTATTCAGAGATTCTGAGGTTAAGACTTGCCTAATTGTAATGATTTGTGTCAATGATATCTTTGAAAAAAGATAGTACTTGGAAGAAACTACCCTTTAAAGAGAAGCTTTCTGAGTCTAAATCGTTTTAATAAAAGTTACCACACATAAGAGGTGAATGACTGTTATCCAGAAGGTTCTGCCGGTTCCTCCAGCTCTCCATACCCGGCTCTGCATTGCACCGCCATGATGGGCCATAGTCCCATACTTGTGCTTAGCCAGAACACAAAGGGTGAATCTGGAAGAGAGTTCAGTCTGGAAACATCAATGCTGCTAAGACTATTGCAGATATCATCCGAACACATTTGTCCATGATGAAGATGCTTTGGGACCCAATGGGAGGCATTGTGATGACCAATGATGGCAATACCATTCTTTGAGAGATTCAAGTCCAGCATCCAGCAGCCAAATCAATGATTGAAATTAACCAGATGTAAGATGAAGAAGTTGGAGATGGGACCACATCAGTAATTATTCTTGTGGGGGAAATGTTATCTGTGGCTGAGCATTTCCTAGAACATCAGATGCATCCAACAGTGGTGATCAGTGCTTACCACAAAGCATTGGATGATATGATCAACACTTTAAAGAAAATCAGTACCCCTGTTGACATCAATAACCGTGACGTCATGCTGAACATCATTAACAGCTTCGTTACTACCAAAGCCATCAGCTGGTGGTCTTCTCTGGTGTGCAACATTGCCCTGGATGCTGTCAAGACTGTACAGTATGAGGAGAATGGTCAGAAGCAGATTGACATCAAAACATATGCAAGGGTGGAAAAGATACCTGGGGGTATCATTGAAGACTCATGTGTCTTCTGTGGAGTCATGATTAAGAAGGATGTGACCCATCCACGAATGCGGTGCTACATCAAGAACCCTCGGATTGTGCTGTTGGACTCTTCCCTGGAATACAAGAAAGGGGAAAGCCAGACTGACATTAAGATTACACGAGAGGAAGACTTTACCCGAATCCTCCAGATGGAAGAAGAGTATATCTAGCAGCTCTGTGAGGACATTATCCAGCTAAAGCCTGATGTGGTCATCACAGAAAAGGGCATCTCGGATTTAGCTCAGCACTACCTCATGTGGGCCAATATCACAGCCATCTGTAGAGTCCAGAAGACAGACAATAATCACATTGCTAGAGCCTGGGGGGCCCAGATAGCCGACCAGAGGAACTGAGAGAGGATGATGTTGGAATAGGAGCAGGCTTGTTAGAAATCAAGAAAACTGGAGAGAAGTACTTTACATTCATCACTAAGTGCAAAGACCCCAAGGCCTACAGCATTCTCCTCTGGGGAGCCAGCAAAGAGATTCTTTCAGAAGTGGAACCCAACCACTAGGACGCCATGCAAGAGTGTCGCAAGGTTCTTCTGGACCCTCAGCTGGTGCCAGGGGGTAGAGCCTCTGAGATGGCTGTGGCCCATGCCTTGACAGAGAAATCTAAGGCCATGACTGGTGTGGAACAGTTGCCATATAGTGTTGTTGCACAGGCACTAGAGGTCATCCCTCATACCCTGATCCAGAACTGTGGAGCTGGCACTATCCATCTGCTTACCTCCCTTTGTGCCAAGCATACCCAGGAGAACTGTGAGACTTGGGGCGTAAATGGTGAAACCGGAACTTTGGTGGACATAAAAGAACTAGGCATATGGGAGCCATTGGCCGTGAAGCTGCAGACATATAAGACAGCAGTAGAGACGGCAGTTCTGCTACTACGGATTGATGACATCATCTCAGGCCACAAAAAGAAGGGCGATGACCAGAGCCACCAAGGTGGGGCTCCTGATGCTGGCCAGGAGTGAGTGCTGGCAAAGTGACTTCAATGCACAAAACCAGCAAAGTCTCTTCCTTTCCTGAGCCAGAACGCCAGGAACACTGTGGACGTCTTTGTTTGGAAGAGATCAGTTTGAGGGGCAGTCCCGAGTCCCTTTCAGTCCCAGCTCAGTTAACAAAAAGCACGGACATGTAATTCTTCTCTGTTGTAAGGTTTCCATTTAGTTTGCTTCCAATGATTAAATCTAAGTCATTTGGAAAAAAAAATGGAGGTGAATGACTGTAGTGGTTGGAATTTGAACATGAAGCTTTCTTCACTGCAGGGGAGGGGTAGTGAGGGGTGGAAGGGTGAAGCCGACACAGGCAATCCCAGCTTCAGATTTGGTTGGTCTAATGGATGAAACGCTTTAAAATTGATGGCTAGGAGTGGAGTGTGATGCAATGGAGTCCCAGGAAACCTGATAACAAAGAAATTATCTTTTATAAAAGCAAGGTTGAGGCAAACTTTTAGTGTAAGATAAACCAGACCTAATGAGCTAAATAGCTCTGGAGTTATTCCAGCCATTGGGCCCCTTATTATAATCTATACAACTTGGTATAGTTGACGCAGTTGTTTGAGTGATTTATGCTACTGATAATAGACGCTTATAAATTTCTTGGAGGGAAGTATAGATCTCCCTAATAGCCTGTGTTTTAATTCACTTACACAGTTAGTTTCCACTAGCAGCAGCTTAAGTCTTTTCTATAAATTAAAAGAGCCCGCCCTTTCCAAACCCTGTGCACACACTGGAAGAGCCATTGAAAGCATGCCAGGTTGGGACGCGGTCGGCTCGACTTTGGATCTGATCCATGTCCCCCTATCTCATACTGTCTAATGTGCTTATAGAGCCACAGGGAAGGCAGATGGAGCATTTTAATTTTGCAGCAGTTATTTTCATGTGAACACATACAGAAATGTAAAAAAAAAGAGGAAAAAATTATGTACCTCTAAAAAATGACATCCAGCTGAGAAGTAAGTATTGATGAGCTTTCTACACAGGCACCAAAATAGGTGGACTGACTCATAGAGGAAAGAAAGAATGAGATGACAATGGGCCCTATAGCTGAGCCTGGGCAACTCCAGACATTTAGAAACACGCATAGAGAAGGACAGGTTGTCAGAGTTAATTGAGCACCAGAAGCCCCTGATGAGGGCAAGTGTGACAGTTGGTTCTCTCCGTAAAGCTAAGAGAGGAAAATCTTTGATTTTTTTTTAAAGTTCTTCCTAATGTCTTATTTATTTATTTATTTATTTTTATTGTTTGGGATTCATTGAGGGCACAAAGAATTAGGTTAGGTTACACTGATTACATTTGTTAGATAAAGTCCTCTTGTAATTGTGTCCTGCCCCCAAGAGGTGTGCCATACACTGTGACCTCCCATCCCTTCCCTCTCCCTCTCCCACTCTTCATTCCCCTATCCCACCTTGTATCAGCTCATCTACTGCTTTCATGTTAGAATAGAGTACATTTGATTCTTGCTCCTCCATTCTAGTGATGCTTTGCTAAGAAGAATGTGTTCCACCTCCATCTATGTTAATACAAAAGATGTAAAGTCTCCATCTCTTTTAGTAGCTGAATAATATTCCATGGTATACATACATCACAGCTTGTTAATCCATTCCTGTGTTGGTGGGCATTTAGGTTGTTTCCACATTTTGGTGATTGTAAATTGAGCTGCTATCAACAGTCTAGTGCAAAAAATCCTTATGATAAAATGATTTATTTTTTCTTCTGGATAGATGCCCAGTAATGGGATTGCAGGATCAAGTGGGAGTCTAATTTGAGTTCTTTGAGGATTCTCCATACTTCCTTCTGTAAAGGTTGTATTAGTTTGCAGTCCCATCAGCAAAGTAAAAATGTTCCCTTCTCTTCACATTCACACCAGCATGGGCAGCTTTGAGACTTTGTGATGTGGACCATTTTCTCTGGGGTTAGGTGCTATCTCAGGGTGGTTTTGGTTTGATTTCTCTGATGATCAGTGACAATGAGCATTTTTTCATATGTTTGTTAGCCATTCTTCTGTTTTCTGTAGAGAAGGTTCTATTCATCTCTCTTGCCCAGTGATATATGGGATTGTTGGGTCTTTTTTTGTTGTTGATTAATTTGAGTTCTCGGCTCAGCACCCATAGTACGGTGGTTATAGCACCAGCCACATACAACAAGGGTGGTAGGTTTGAACCCAGCCTGGGCCAGTTAAACAACAATAACAACTGCAACAAAAAATAGCTAGGTGTTGTGGCAGGTGCCTGTAGTCCCAGCTACTTGGGAGGCAGAGGCAAGAGAATTGCTTAAACCCAAGAATTTGAGGTTGCTGAGAGCTCTGACACCATGCACTCTACCCAGGACAACATAGTGAGACTCTGTCTCAAAAAAAGAAAAAAAAATTTGTATGAGTTCTTTATAGATCCTAGTTACCAAGCTTTTGTCTGATTCAGAATGTGCAAATATCTTTTCTCCTTCTGAAGGTTATGTTTGCTTTGGTTGTTGTTTCCTTAGCTAGAAGCTTTTCAGTTTAATTAAGTCCCATTTGTTTATTTTTGTTGCCACAGAAGTCTTCTTGATAAAATCTTTCCCCAGGCCAATATCTTCAAGTGTATTCCCCACACTTTCTTTGAGGATTTTTATTGTTTCATGCTCTATATTTAAATCTTTTATGTATCTTGAATCAATTTTTGTAAGTGGTGAGCAGTGTGGGTCCAGTTTCAGTCTTTTATATGTGGATATCCAGTTCTCCCAGCACCATTTATTGAATACGGTTTCTTTTCCCCAGTGTATGTTCTCGTTTGGTTTATCAAAGATCAAGTGGCTATAAGAGGTTAGTTTAGTCTCATGGATTTGTATTCTGTTCCAAATGTCAATGTCTTTATTTTTGTGACAATACCAAGCTGTTTTAATCACTACAGCCTTATAATATAGCTGAAAGTCTGATAGGGTGAAACCCCTGTCTTTCTTTTTATTACTAAGAATTGCCTTGGTTATACAGGATTTTTTTCTGATTCCATACAAAATGAAGAATTATTTTTTCCAAATCCTGAAAGTATGATAATTGTATTTTAATGAGGATTTCATTGTATCTGTAGATTGCTTTGGGTTGTATAGTTGATTCTTCCCAGCCATGAACATGGTATGTTCTTCCATTTGTTAATATCTTCTGCTATTTCTTTTTGTAGGGTTTCATGATTTTCTTTGTAGAGATCCTTCACCTCTGTTGTTATGGATTTTCCTAGGTATTTCATTTTTTTGAAGCTACTATGAAGGGAATTGTGTTCTTGATTAGCTTCTCATCTTGGCTGATATTGGCATATGCAAAGGCTACTGATTTATGGACATTGATTTTATATCCTGAGACATTGATATATTTTTTGATCACTTCCAGGAGTCTTGTGGTTGAGTCTTTGGGGTTATCTAAGTATAAGATTATATTGTCAGTAAAGAGGGAGAGTTTGACCTTCTCTGCTTCCATTTGATTGCGTTTTATTTCCTTCTCTTGCCTGATTGTATTGGCTAGAACTTCCAGCACTATGCTGAACAGTAGTGGTGATAGAGGACAACCTATTCTGGTTCCGGTTCAAAGTGGAAAAGATTTCAATTTTACCCCATTCAGTATAGTATTAGCTGTGGGGTTTGTTGTAGATGGCTTCAGTCAGAATAAGAAATGTGCCAACTAAGCCTAAATTGTTAAGTGTTCTAATTAGAAAAGGATGCTGAATTTTATCGAATGCTTTTTCTGCATCTGTTGAGAGAATTGAAGAAACAATAAAAAATCTCTCAACAAAAAAAAGCCCTGGTCCAGATAGCTTCACACCAGAATTCTATCAAACCTTCAAGAAAGAGCTTATTCCCATACTGCAGAAATTATTTCAAAAAATTGAGAAGGAAGGAGTCTTCCCCAACATGTTCTCCAAAGCAAACATCATCCTGATACCAAAACCGTGAAAAGACCCAACTAAAAAGGAAGATTTCAGACCAATTTCACTAATGAATATAGATGCAAAAATTCTCAGTAAAATCCAAGCCAGTAGATTACAGCTACACATTAAAAAATCATTCATCATGATCAAATAGGTTTCATCCCAGGGATGCAAGGCTGCTCTAACATACGCAAGTCCATCTCCATAATTCACCATATCAACAGAAGTAAAAACAGAGAATGTTTTGATTTTAAAGAGAAGGCAAAGATAAGGGTATTTATATATCTATATATACATATTTTTGAAGACAAAGTCTCACTCTGTCACCCAGGGTAGAGTGCTTTGGTGTCATAGCTTACAGCAACTTCAAACTCCTGGGCTCAATGATCCTCCTGTCTTAGCCTCCCAAGTAGCTGGGAGTAAAGGCACTGCCACCACACCTGGCTAGTTTTTTTGTTTTTAGTAGAGACAGGGTCTCACTCTTGCTCAGGCTGGTCTTGAACTCTTGAGCTCAAGGTATCCTCCTGCCTTGGCCTCCCAGAGTGCTGGGATTACAGGTGTGAGCCACCACACCTGGCCTAGACTCAAACATATGTGAATGCTGATTGGAAGGGAACAGTGCACACTGACAAGGAAAGATGAAATGAGCGACACCGTTTATGTGGGTTACATATATATCTCAATACTTTATTATACAAGAGATCAAAGCTGAGAAATTCTTAAAATATTCTTTAGTTATTCATTTAAAATTAGTTGTAATAAACCCATTACACATTAATATAAATAATAGCTCACAGCAACTTCAAACTCTTGGGCTATTCTATTTTAAAAACTAGGTTTCCCAAATAAAAATCAGTTTGTGATAAAAGTGGCAGCTTCACATGTTTTCATGTCTCTTTAATGTTGTGCCGGGTCCTCGTCTTGGCCTCTGCAGGGACCTGCTGCTATATGTTACTATGGCTCATGTATGTAAAGAAAATCTGGCCTTGCAGATACAGCATGGGACAAAGGACAGGTGTCGGTATGCTTCTTTGATACCACACTCAAACTCTGCTGTTTTCTTAAAGATGACCCGCAGTGCAGAATCT